AGAGGAACCTCTTGCTTTTTTGCATCGATGGATGATTAGTTTCCTGAGTTCTCTTCATACCTTCTTATATTTAGGCTCTTGCTGGGCCTAACACTTGCTCAGTGATACATCACTTGAATCTTTACAATATTTTAATTTAAAGTAATTTCTTGGTTTTTGATTTCTGGTTTTTAGTCAGGGTTCTTTTTGTTTTGTTTTTGTTTTCCAGACAGGGTCTCTCTGTGTAGCCTTGGCAGTCTTGGGGCTCGCTCTGTAGACCAGGCTGGCCTGGAACTCAGATCCATCTGCCTCTGCCTCCCTAGTGCTGGGATTTAAACAGGGTCTTGTCATAGAGCCTGGGTCTCCTCATGATTGATTCCCCATGCTCCTGTGCCCACTCTCTCAAGGGCCATAACACCCAGGCTCTCTTTAAACTATTTTTATAACCTAGACATAGGATTTGCCTTAGGCTAAAGTTGATAATTCAGACCCCTGCACAGTGTGGTACATTCTTATAACCTAGCCATAGGATTTGCCTTAGGCTAAAGCCGATAATTCAGACCCCTGGACAGTGGTGGCACAAGCTTGATCCCTGCCCTTGGGAGGCAGAGGCAGGTGGATCTTGGTGATTCTGAGGCCAGTTTGGGTTACTTAGTAGGGCCTTGTCTGGAAGACAAAACAAAAACCAAATTACTTTTGAAATGCGGTGAGCTGTGTGTTCAGGAGAGGGGGTCATCACCTTCCTCTCTTTTTTTTGTTTCCATAGCTTGAATTCCCTATTTTCTCCCACGGGGACCCGACAGTTTCCCAGAAACTGGAACAATTTGCATAGTTTATCTTAGCTCTCTGCAAGCATTCCTGCTTGTAGAAGCTGAGTTCTGTTACTAAGGCTGACCTCGAATCTTCCAAGACATTTCGGGGTGTAGGAGCAGGAAATTATTAAATTGAAAAAAAAAAAAAAGGAAACCCTGGTTTTTTTTCATTCACATTCCTACCCCCCCCCCAAAAAAAAAATTATTTTTGATTGATGGGGGATGAGAGAGTGTCTTTTAAGTTCGTTATTAAAAATGACAAGTCGGCTGATGAGACCGTATTTGGCAGGAAGACGGCAGAAGAAGAAAGGATAGACTGCCAAGTGCGGGCTCTCGGGAGGGAACAGTGCGGCGGAGACATATGGAGCGTGTTTAAAACAAACGCCGGCGGAGAATGCAAGTGTGATAAACATGGTGGTCAGAGGAGGAATCGCTGGTATGGGGCTGCAGAGTCGGCTGTCTGAAGCCGGAGGAGCGGTTGCAACACTCAGAGCCCCGGCCAGCGGCCCCTCCTGTTGTTCTTTCTGGAGCTACATTCTTTTCCATTAAAAGAAGAAGAAGAAAGTTGGCTATAGACACAGTCAAAGGCAGTAATTAGTCCGCCGGAAGCGGAGCTTCGTGCAACCGAGCAAAGCCTGCATCCCCTGCAGTACCGATCCGGCGTCCGGAACCTCGCTGGATGCCTCCCGAGCACGGAATCCATCGCTGAATGAATGAACCGGCAGAGGGCAGGGAGTGCTAAGTGACGGGGAAGTGAAAGACGAGGACTTCACAGATGGAACTGCCGCCGGGGAGTAGGGGTGGGGGGGCATGGAGAGCCCAGAGCCGGGAGGGAGGCCAGGGCACAGGGTGGGAAGGGATGGGCTCTGTTTAAAAGGAAAAGGCCCTGGAGCCCTGCGCCTCCTCAAGGCTTGGATTACAGGTGTGTGCACCCTGCTTGGCTTAAAAATCACATTTCAAAAGTTTTTTTGAGTCTACCCAGGAGTTTAGGCCTCAGTTTTCTGCCTGGCTGGTGCATTTCTGATCCGAATTCCTGACGCTTTGGCCTGGGCTTCCTGCGGATGTCTGGCCTTAGCTATAAGCCCAGAGCGCCGCCTTTGGCCTCTGGTGTTAATTTTTGTCAAAAACTACAACTCTTACTTAAAAAAAAAAAGTCATTAGAAAAAAAATTTAAGACACTATTTTTCACATAAACGTTTAAAATAAGCTTCAAATATTCTGGTAACCACGTACGTGGAATAATAGTCCTCAGGGAGAAAAAAGTTCACACACAGGGTCCTGACTGCCCCTTGAAGTTTCCTTCCAATCCTCACCTGCTGTTGATTACACGGCTTTCAAATAAAAATGCCTCCGCTCCATTTGTACCTCGTGAATTCCTGTCTCAAATATCAAGAGATTTCAGCCTCTGACTTCTCCCGCATTCCTTCCAGCAAGTCCCTGAGTCAGCTCGCCCCCAGTGAGCTCATGCGGCCACAGGTCTCCATTAACATTGGTTTTGTCTGGGAAGTTAAGTTCTGGGATGTGTCCAGAGCTGAACAATCCTGTCTTGTGAGAATTACGATCTAATTATTTCTCAAGGATATCTGAGTTAACAGAAGGCAGCCGGTGGGGCGCGCCTTCTCACAGCTGAACAGACCACTCTCTACATTCCTTCGAAATAAGATATAGCCCAGTATTTTAAACCATAGCAACAGTCGATAAGAAAAACAGCAAAAATGTAATCGTTTCCATATGGAAAGAAAGCAGCGAAGCTGGGATCTATTGTTTTCTATGCAACAAAAAGCCACTGCTTGGTAAATTGGGCAGAAATAGCCAGTGTTCATATTTTGCCCCTATTTTATATTTGTTGATACACTGTGATGTATTTTATTGAAAAATGTTTCCCTCAAACTTACTGCTAAATTTTGTGTGTGTGTGTGTGTGTGTGTGTGTGTGTGTGTGTGGTTCTTCAGAAACCACATGAAACCAGTGTCTCTCTGTGTTAATTCCATTTAGTTCTACACTGTCTTGGTGATAATTTTCTCACTTTAACAAAACATGTGGGTGAGTGATTTTTTTTTTTTTTTTTTTTGTGGCTTTTCCAGACAAGGTGTTTCTGTATAGTCCCGGCTGTCAGGAACTCACCCTGTAGACTAGGCTGGCTTTGAACTCACAGAGATCTACCTGCCTCTGCCTCCCAAGTGCCGGAAATAAAGGTGGCCACCACTGCCCAGCCATGGGTGAGGTTCTGACTGCAGGGCTGACAAGATGGTAAAGGTTCCAGTTATCCTCCGGCCTCCGGATCCACACTGGGATACAAACATGCCCCCACATGTACACACAACCACACAAACAGACTCAATAAAGAAATGTAATTAAAATTTACAGCAAAGCAGCTCAAAGCCGGGCAGTCTTTAAGGCAATAGCTGAATAAAATTCCGTTTCTGCTCTGACATCCTACACCCCGCGACCAAATCTGACCCAATGCACGCATTCCCAGAGAGTTAAAGGCAAACAACTTACTTGTTTACTTAAAAAAAAAAAAAAAAAAAAAAAGGCCAAGGCTTTGATACAATCACTCAGGAGACAGAGGTGGTTGGCTCTCTGAGGTTAATCTGGTCTATATCATGGGTGTGAGGCCAGCCAGGGCTGCACAGTGAGACCCTGTCTCAAATATTTAATATGTGGGGGCATACGCATGCCATGGCCCAAGTGTGGTCGGGGAAATGGGTTCTCCTCTTCCATCATGTAGGTCCAGGCATGGATCTTGGTTGTCAGGCTTAGCAATAAATGCCTTTACCTAGCTTTGGGTTTTGAGACAAGGCCTTGCTGTGTGTATATAGCCGTAAGTGACCTGGAACTCGGTGTGTGCTCCGGGCTGTCCATTACTCCTGTCCTCCTGATTCCATCACCCTAGTACTGGGATTATAGCTGTTTGCCACAGCTTCTAAATTTTTTTTTTTTTTTTTTTTTTGCCCAGGATCATCTTGAACTCCTAACTCAACAGATCCTCCTGCCCCAGCCACCTGAGTGCTGGAAGGCGGGGCACACTGCTGCACCCGGACCAGTGTTCTTTCTGAAATAGCTACATCGAGTATCTTAACTGCATTCAGAGCACGGTCACACTGTTGCATTTGACAACATCGCCCCCTTGTGGCTCACAGCAGCCACTTTCAAAGGTATTTACAGAACTGGGATTCTCAGACCCAAGAAGAGTGGCTCCTGCTTAACGCTTGGGGAGCTGAGCCTGGAGAATCACAGCACGGTCCAGACCATCCTGGGCTACAGGGACCCCGTCTACAAACACGACGAAACAAGCACACTGGCGCGGGAGACGGCCCAGGGGCCAAGCATGTGGATGGCACGTGCAGAGGGTCAGAACCCACCTGCATCTCCAGCACCAAAGCACCTAACGCCCCCTCTACCTCCCTGGGTGGCTTCATACGGGTGCCCCGTGCACACACACACACAAACCCAAACACACACACCACACTATACACACACCTCACAGACACACATACATACACCAGACACATACACACACACCACTATACACACACCTCACAGACACACACACATACACCACACACACACCACGATACACACACCAAATACATACATATGCACCTATCACACCACTCACAGACACGCACACACCACACACACATATAGACATACTTACCACAGTACACACACACAGATGCACATACACACACACACCACATACATACATACCTATACCACACACTTGAAAGAAACCCTTTTTTAAAAGCCCACATACCCAAAGTATATTTTAGCTCCCATTTGAACCGTGAAAGTTTAGGTCATGTTTCGTAAATCTTTTTTGTAGTAAAGAGGGAAGAGGAAGAAACATGGAGACAAACAGAATGTTCCCTTTCCTTGGATCCTTATGCTTCCGTGTCAGGTATGAGCTTGCAGAGTTCTTTACACTAGACTCCAAGGTGCACAGATCTGCTCTGGAGCCTGAGGCGGGAGGATCTACAGGGTTTGAGACCCTATTTCTGCAAGATGATGTGGTTTTTTTTTCTTTTTTTCAAAGTGATGTTTTTTGTTTTTTTAATAGAAACTGCTTTTTTTCCCCTTACAAATGAAATTCCAAATATATCTTTTCACTGAAAATACATTACATTCCCCTGGGAGAATTTTCTTCGTGTCTGTGGACAGAGTACATAAATTAGAATCCGCATTCTATTTTATTACTATAACAGATTGACCTTGAAAGTAAATATTCATATTTATTTATCTGTTCTGAACGGAGCCTTGTGTAGCCCAGGTTGGCTACAGGAGACCCAGAGTGCTGGGATCGCAGACAAGCCCCACTAAGCCTCCATTTTGAAAATATTTTAGTCCAAGCATCCTTAAGGTCTTCTTCTCTTCTTAGCTTAAAGTCAGAGATTACTATAGCTGGCGACAACTTGTTCTAACAACGTGAAGCTGTCCAAAAAGTCTTCTTCCTCCATTCCAAATCTTGTGTACTGATGGATGTAAGCTCTGGTGAGAAAGCAGCAAGTATCACATACACAATTCCAGGCAAATGAGAAGCTTAAACAATGAACGACCCGGTGAGCACTCCGAGCTCACAGAAGCTCTTGGGACTCACTGATGTGTGGGTCGCTCGTTCTAACACCAGCACCTTTAGCCCGTCGTCACACTCGCTCTGCCCTTAGTGTCCAAGAAGGCACAGGGGAAAGGAGGCACGTCGGGCTCTGAGGTCATGGAAAATGGGCTCAGTATTCCACAGGAGGTGACTGACCCCAGATCAACCCTCAGAAGGAGCCCAGGAATGTCACATAAGGTTTGGAATTAGAAGTGACGCCAGCGTTCCTCCTGGGTGGTGTTCTCAGCCATCCCCTAACCCACAGGTTTCTGGGTTAGCAGAAACCCAGCTCCTGGAAGAACAGCAGGGGCAGGCGGGATAAACTGACATCACAGTGGGAGTAGGAAGAGATTGGACCAAGAGAAGACTTGGGAGCCAGATGAGGAGGAGACAGGCTGGGCACAGCCTGGGCAGGATGACTGGGTCCTGGGGAACCCTGTTCAGTCACCTGGGGAATTGTATTTTGACAGCAAATAACTATCCATGAGAAGAGGCTGAGCAGCTGCTAAGACATCCCTCAGTGCCCCGTGGAGCTGAGCTTCCCATTGCTATTACTGAGGAGGCCCGGAGTCTCCTCTGCTCCCCAGGACCTTCTCCCTGTCTCTTCCCAGCACTGGGACAGAGCACAGGCCCTCACATGAGAGTTCTAGGCATGCCTAGGGTACACAACCACACATCAGGCAAAATAGCCACACACATAAAATAAAGATACTGGTACGGAAGAGTTGCCGAGCACTTCTTAGCCCAGTGCCGAACTAGGTGGCTTGCATGCCCACCTCACTGGACCCTTGCTGCACAGATGAGAAGGGACCTTTACATCACACGCCTCCCAGCTGCACTTGGCAGCAAGGCTTACTCACAGTGCGCCTCAGGCCCTACTGCGGCAGTGTCCGGCCGAGAGAAGGGGTCTGCAGACCCCTTTTGTACTTACTTGGATGCAAACATATTCCACGCCTTGCCCACAATCGCGTCGAGCGGTCTCACTAAGAGCTGGCTATTGCTGACCAGTGCCGCAGACTTCTCATACTTGTCAAAAGCTCGCTGCGTTCTCCACACGCTGAACGCGTGAGCGGGTCCCAGCCAGGGAGTGTAGAGAGCTGGGTCCTTAAATCCCTCTAGAGTTAAAAACATGGTGCATCTGAGCAAAGTCCCTTCTGCACACGTGTGAAAGTGTGATAACAGAGGCTGGCAACGTGGTGCAGGGAGCAAGAGTGCTTGTCGCCAGGCCTGCTGACTCGGGTTCAGCTCCTGGGACCCACACGCCGCACGGAGAGAAGTCACTCTCCTGCAGGTTGTCCTCTGACCTCCACATGTGTGCTGTGGTACACACACTGTGGCCACACACACACACACACACACACACACACACACTTACTCACTTAAAAACAAAAAGGGAAAACAGTAATTCTGAAGAAGGACAGAGAGGTGTGGAAACTTAAGAAGAGAGAAGCTGAGGAGCCTCTTACTCTGGACTCCAGGTAAAGTCTCTGTGCTGGAAAGATGGTGGAGTGCTTTAGAAGCTGAGAGCACTGGCTGCTCTTCCAGAGGACCCAGGTTCAATTCCCGGCACCCAAAGACACATTCCCAACTGTCTGTAACTCCAGTCCCGGGAGATCTGACACCCTCTTCTAGCATTTGTAGGCGCCAGGCATGCGTGTGGTACATAGAAATACATGCAAGCAAACATACACATAAAATAAATAAAAATTAAAAAAACAAAATTTGATGCTGGGCAGTGGTGGTGCACTTCTGTGATCCCAGCACTGGGAGGCAGATTCGGAAGGAGCTCTGCGTTTGAGGCCAGCCTGGTCTACAGAGTGAGATCCAGGGCAGCCGGGGCTGCATACAGACCTTACCTCTGAAAAAAATACTGCTATAAAGACTGTCTGCAAGCCAGGCATTGGAGGTACACGCCTGCAATCCCAGCACTCGGGAGGCAGAGGCAGGTGGGTCTCTGTGAGTTCGAGGCCAGCCTGGTCTACAAATCTACAAAGTGAGCCCAGGACAGCCAAGGCTACACAGAGAAACCCCACCTCAAATAAACAAACAAACAAACAAACAAACAAATAAATAAATAAATGCAGAGATTGCCTGCAGAGAGATATTTCAAATATGAATGTTAAACTAGCAATGACGCATGCTTGTGGCCTAGGTGTCTCTGACCTTCCTTATTGCTTTCTCAGATGTGAACCTGAGATCTGGGAATCTCACAAACAAGACGAATAAACCTGTGCACAGTCAAAGCTGTCTAGAGTTCCTGGCCTAGGATTCTGTCAGTGGCTCAGACTGAGGGGATCCCTTGGTTTCGGGGAGAAAATAATTTCTGCCTCCAGTAGGTGGCAGAACGGGACTTTATTAAAGATGTTTTTATATGGCGCTTAAGGCCCTCAGGCGGGTAAGCCCCGCCCCATGAGTGTGGATCATAGATGAGGTGGGCCCCACGGTCCTGCACAGTACTGGGTGAATTTTGAGGTTCCTGTCTTTAGTGAGGTGCTAAGGAATTCTAATGAGGTCGCAGGGCACTCCTGAAGGGTACAGACAGGATTACGAGGAGGTAAACTCCAGAATGAAGGAGGGTAGGGCGTCCTCACTGCAAACCAGGATGTTAGTCTTGTTTGAGAGATTTCCAGAAAATGTCTTCAAAGAGGAGGGGGACCCAGGGTCCTACACATTCAGGCCCTAAGCCCAGGTCATTCTTCTTTTAACATTCTCATTTGAAGATATTTCTATACAAAATACAGAGATTTTTATATATTTCTGACAACCTTCACAACAAATGCTAATTGTGCTAGAATCCTTAGTTTTGGGGTAACGAGAGGTCCCCTTTCCTTCCTAAGCCCCCAAATCTCCCTCTTCTAGCCTGCCTCATATTCGTTTGTCAGCTGTGACCTGGTGTACATGAGCGAGCCCACCTTATGTGTTCATTCAGGTCCCTAGACAAACCTTTGCAATGGGACTTTGGAGCCACCAAAACTGTACACTTGGGGGCGGGGGGGCTGAGTGCTCGTTGTGTAAGAGCGCTCGGTGTACAAGCTAGGGGACAAGGACCGGCAAGCCCTCGGAGCCTGCCGGTCAGCCCTTGGAGCTGAGAGGGAGGCCTCGGGTTCAGTGAGAGAGGCTGTCTCAAAGGACAAGGCAGAGAGCAGCAGCAGGTGAAGACACCCGAGCCCTGCTCTGGCTCCTGCAGCCATATGCTCACCACACACACACACTTAGAAACAAACGCTTAAAACTGTGCGATGGCTGTTGTGAAGACACTTAGTAATTTTCTCGAGAAGCTCATGGCCACACGTGCCTGTGTTTTACTCTTTCAGATAAATGAGCTAAACTTCCCTTCGTAAGGAGAGAGGACATGGCTCAAGCTGCACAAGGACCTCACCTCATCCCCAGAGCCCCAGTCAAGAAAACTGGCTTGGTAGCCCATGCGTGGAAGCCCAGCACTGGGAAGTGCAGGCTGGGGCCACTGACCAGCCAAGGCTAAGTCCCCTAGCAGGTGCCAAGTTAGTAGGAGACCCTGTCTCAAAAGTAAGGTGAGATGGGGATGGTGGAGCACGGTAATCTCAGCACCGGAAAGCTGAGGCAGGAGGATCAGCACTTCAGAGCCAGCCACGGCTAGAGAGCAAGTTTGGGGATACATGACAGACTGTCCAAAACAGCAAAGAAACAAAATTCCAGGGTCAAAGACACCTGAGGAAAGACCTGCACTGGCCTCCACTGGCCTCCACCCTCCACGGGCTCTACCCCCCTCCATGGGCCTCTACCCCCCTCCACGGGCCTCCACCACTTGCACTCTCCATGGGCTCTACCCCCCTCCATGGGCCTCTACCCCCCTCCATGGGCCTCCACCACCTCCACCCTCCATGGGCCTCTACCCGACTCCACGGGCCTCCACCACCCTCCACCAGCATTGGAAAGATGGCTCAGTGGGTTGTATTCTCCAACCCCAAATTAGATTTGGATTTATTTGGTTGGTTGGTTTGGTTTTGGAATGCATGGGGGGTTTTGTTTGTTTGTTTGTTTGTTTTCTGCTTGGTTTGGTTTGGTTTTTTTGAGACAGGGTTTCTCTGTGTAGCCCTGGCTGTCCTGAAACTCACTTTGTAGACCAGGCTGGCCTCCAAGTCACAGAGATCTGCTTGCTTCTGCCTCCTGGTCTGGGATTAAAGGTGGTTGAGTGCCTAGCTAAAAGTTCTCATTTATATTAAATGTGTGTGTGGAGGTTGGGCATCTTTGTGGAGGAAGTTCGCTCGTCCACCTTGACGTGAGTTCCAGGTACCAGATTCAGGTTTGTCGGGCTCATGAGATAAGTGCCTCTCCCCCCCTGCACCATCTTGAAAGTCCCAGAAGTTATTTTTAGAAAACTCAGTTTTCACCTGAATTAATGCTTACCCACATCTGCACTTTGCACTTCTTTCCCACGGAGGATGACCAAGTTAGCAATGGAAGTGTTAAAATTAAGTTCTTTGTGAACTGACATTTTGCCAAGAGGAGGGAGGCCTGACAGAGGAGGCCGCACCTGCCAGTCGATACCTAGCACAAAGGAAAAGCGGAGAGCATATAAGCGGCTTTGAATTGGAGGAAAGTGTAGATGTTTCAGGTTGGTGTGACAGCACATCCCATAATCCCAGCAGGTGATGCAGGAAAATCAGCAGGCAGGCGTTTAAGGCCTTTGGATAATCTACCCTGCATTGAGAGATACAGTGGTTCGCCTGTTTTGAGTCAGGGCCACTCTGTAGCCTAGAACTCAAAGTGTAGCCTAGGCTGGCCTCGAAGTGCCAAGGTTGCAGGATTGGAGGTATCAGCCACCACATCCACTTGTATTGTAGTTCGTTCGTTCTTTCTTTCTTTCTTTCTTTTTCTTTCTTTCTTTCTTTCTTTCTTTCTTTCTTTCTTTCTTTCTTTCTTTCTTTC